CTTTCCTGCTTATGCAGGGGGTCGGACTCGATGATCTATTGAGGTCCCTTCCGACCCTAACATCTATGAATCTATAGGACAAGGTATTTTCCCTTTCAACAGCTCACTACAGAAATTTAGCATTATAAATACATAGTTATGACTTCAGGGGTGTAGGTTGTAGCCGTGTTGGTCTAAGGACACAGGCAGACAAGGTTCTTTGGGTGAATCGGATATCTTTTATTAGACCAACTTAATAATTGTTTTTCAACTATTTAAGTTGGTCTAATAAAAGATACCTGATTCACCCAAAGAACCGTGTCTAGTCATGACTTCTAAATTTTACTTTTAATCCAATGATTTTAGCATAGAGGATGCAGATGCAGGCCTTAAACATTGCTATGTTGAACTCAAGGGGCTTGCATGTTTGCATATTGTTTTCTTGGGTTCTTGTTCCTTTCCTGATGAGGAACAAAATCAGGTGTAGTTTTGAGGCACTGCCTGTTTCCCTTATTACTAAGACTCAAATGTAGGTGGGTTAAATCTCTCATACTTTTGTTTTATCGCTGTTAGTGATCGGTGGGAAGGAAATCACGGCACCTTCGGCATCTACAAGGCAGGGATAGTTCTCATTCCCATCCAGTAACTGTAGGTACCTATCAACAAAAAAAGGGCAAATTTGAGATGCAGCATGAAGAACAGACATGATGAAGTAACTTATTTCAAATGTGACAGAAAGCAAAGATAAAGCAAGCAGGGTACCATATATACCAACAGAATTATTGCCCTGCACTGGCTGCAAGTAAGGGAGGCATGAACCAAGCCCAAGTAACACTTCAAAGTGTAACATTCATATTACCAAAGTGAGCAAATAAGCTCTTAATGTTTTCAGAATTCTCAAAACACAGCAGCACTTATGCTCTCATTTTATGGCATCCTAGGTCAGCTACTTGATATTTTATCTTCAATCCTTCCTCCACTGCTTATGTAACTGTACACAACCCTACACTTGTGCACCTAGAAGTTTCCCTAAGGCTTACACTATAGTGGTCCCATGAGGACATCCTAATATGCACAAGAGGAAGCCCAGCATGACATTTTCCTTTACAGTAGAGATACAGTCCCATAAAAGTTGAAAAGTCCCTTCCAAGTTCCTCCATTTACAGAACTTGGGACATAACACACATGCTGGCTAAGTTGTATTTCTATTGGGCTTCCCCCCTCTATTCACTTGCCCAAAGTCATTCCTTGCCTCTAAAAACTATGCATGTTCTTCTAACCACTGTCCAATTACCACATTTACGCAAATCCAAGATGACTCTGAATTTCAGACAACCCCCCGAATAATTAGATTCTACACATGGAAAATGTAAAAATTTGTTATAATTTTCCACATATAGAATCCAGTCACTGGGGGGGTGGTCATCTTAAATTCATCCTTCCCACTATTGCGATAGGTAAAGCAGGGGCAGGGGAAGCAAGCAGCCTGCTGTTAGGTTAGCTTGTCACATTTAGCTGTAGCTGCACCTGGTTGAGTGGTGAATTATAGTATCATTTGAACTTTTCTTTTATATTCAGCCTTATTTAACCATTGCTTAAGTTTTTGTACAGCCTTATTATTGGAATTTTTCTTTTGCATTTTGTATCTGCACTGTCAGCTACAGCCTTGAGCTTGCTTTCACAGGAAGCTTTTGTTCTAGCGCTATCAACAGGGATCCTGGTTTTCTCTGTTTAAAAAAATCACAATTCTCTGAAAAAAAAAAAAAATCACAAATCTTCTCATTAAAACCCCCCAAATCAGCATTTTTTCATGATTAGCATGAAATGCCACTATTTATATAGGTATCAGTTAAACATGTTTTATTGACATATTTACAACTTTAAAGCAATTTGGGAGCCTACCAGTACCTCAGTCACTATAATAAAATAACTTCTAAATACCTATACATTTTGGGGGGTTTTCCATGAAAAAAATCAGAGCTCCCTCTTCCCCTTTCGCTCACCAGGACATGGGTCCAGCTCCAGCTGCCCCCCCTCACTGCTTTGTGAAGCAGAGCAGCCCTGATATGCCAGTGCCCCTCACCCCCGCCAGGCCCTCTCTGCTGGTGCCTCTCACTCCCTACCCACAGCCCCCCATCCCTGCTGAAGGGGCCCCCAGCTGCCAGGGCTATGGGGCCAGGGCCACAGCCCTCTGACCCCTGCATCAGCACTTGAGCCCCAGTTGCCACATGTGGGAGGCAATGATGGCTGCTGCGGGGGAGCCGAGTGTGGAGTCCTGCACCCCCTCCCCCACAGGCAGCACAGCCTGAGCAGAGCCCATTGTTGGTGGGGGGAGAGCGCAGGGGCAGGCTGCTCGCTTCCAGCTCGGGCTCCCCGCCCTGTTGCCCACCCCCTGGGACCTCTGCGGCCCAGTAGGCAGGACCTGGCATGGCAGGGCAGAGTGGGGTGGGGAAGCTCGATGCTGTCACCATGAGCCTCGTGCCGCCATGGCAGAGGGTCCTCTGCTTGCCCAGCAGCAGCGGGGGTGGCAACGTAGAGTTCTGCCCCTTGTTGCTGCCGGGGGTGCTTTGCCATGGCACCGTGGGGCTCAGCAGCGGCATCAAGCTTCCCCATCCCACTCTGACCATCTGTGCCAAGTCCTGCCTGCTGGCCCTGGGGAAAGGACAGCAGGGTGGGGAGCTGAGTCTACAGCATGTCGCCCACACCCACTCCCACCCCGTGCACAAGTCTGGGGGGCATGTGCCCCCCATGCCCCTCCATGGGAGTGCAGTTAGTGGCAGGGAACCAGCCAACCTTCACCCCCCTGGAATGAACCGCCTGGGCCCTGCCCCACTCATTCCACCCCCGCCCCCCATGCCCCTCCCAG